TAAGTACCTATACCTAAAATAAATAAATAAAGTCAATATTTCAAACTTAAGAGTTATTTATTTGATCTCTCACATAATGTGTTAGACCTACACTTTAGACTCAACTCAAGTGCCTGTTGATCGCACAACAAGATCGTCATTAACTGAAGAGTTTCAACATTTGAATTGAATTTATGTTTTCCTGCCCTACCATCTATCTATCCCAATTTTATGTTATTCTATGTTAATATGAGCGAGGCTTGCAAAATCTCTGTGTTTGGAAATTAAGAATCTGACACATTAGGAATTATATAACATAGACACATGCTAACGTTATTGGAGTCCATTCTTATTTCTCGAGAAGGCTATCGCTATAGTTTATTCAATAAGATTTTTAATATGTTTGACAGCTATATTTGTCCGTTGAAGTTAAAAAGTTGCATCACAATTTTCTTATCTCAATACTTTCAACGTACTCCACGTATAATACTTCCCGTATTAAATTAGACGTGGAGTACCCACGTGCTTGAAAAGGAACATTTAATTTATTAAAACCAAAAAGCTCAGCAAACGCTTGATTGCAACTACCGTATTTTTGCTAGAAAGGAGGCATTCCGTTTTAGTTCTCAGGGGTGACAACGCATCTGAATTTTGATTCTAGATCGAGGATAGATGTGGATACCCATGGGCCACAGGATCCACTTAACATTAGGTGGACTATGTACTCGTTTGTCGTCCTCAGTATTAAAACAAATGGCTACAAAAGAAAAATCTTCTATGTTTTCATTGTTAACTCACTAACATCAAGATTTTTTATAATACGTATATTGTGATATTCCCTTTTTTTTTTCAGAAAATTTTCACAACCATAGCAGATATTTTCAAAATTTTCAATTTTTATTTTGTTACCTTTTCGATTTGTAAAAAACCGCATGCATGAAGATCTAATTGTTGGCAACCCGCTAACGAAAGAGGCAAAAGCGACGGAACAGATTGTTTGTGGGAAGTATTGACGTGTTTAAGCTCGTTTCACACTTAGCCTACACAACGTTGGCTTAAAAATAAACGCTATAAATACTTATGCTTATACTACATTAGCTTTCGTCATTCAAACTTTTTTAAATACGCGAATGAAACAAAGTTTTTTAAAGTTATTACAGTTGGGTTAATAGCTTCTCCGTCCGTGAAATAGAACGAAACGTTTATATATGATTACAGGGACAGGGTGATGGTTAACTGTTGTGATATTGACAATATTTCACAGATTACCATGTTTTAAGTGATTGTTTTAAGTATAGGGTTGACAAACGAGCACATAGTCCACCGGATGGTTAGTGGATGTTGTGGCCTATAGACATAGCTACATTTATTCTCAATTAAGAATCAAAACGCAGATATGTTCACCCTGAAGACTAAGTCGGAATGCCTCGTTTCCAGTATAAAGGGTTTCCGGTTCTCTACAGTCACAATACGAAACACAAAATCATTAAGCTATTATTTTACGCTGGTGATCCTATCCCGGTCGAGTCGATCTATTTGTAATACAACTGTGATGGTAAAGATGTAAAAAATAGGTGAGATCCGCGTAAAAATAAAGTGATGTCTTGTTTGAAGTCGAAGGGCACTTTCCTCCTTCTCGTCAAGGGACTTAGATGATTTAAAAGCAAACCGTCGTATTATCGAAGGTAGTGTCCTAGTGTTTCCCTTGAACCTGACTCTATTTGTACAACAAATTTTGGGTTTTTCTCTAAAGCCTTATTTTGGTGGACTCAAGCAAATGCAGTATAGGGTATAAGATGAAGTGACGTTGTGATCAATACATGTGGTTAGTTCAGAGCCATGTTGAAAATACACTTATTTAGTGCTTGCAAACAAGCAACATAAATAAATAAAACCTTACATTATTGTATTGGCAATTTATGACGACTAGCCCTCACTGGTGAGATACTCCCCGTATTACTACTGTGACCTTTAGATTGTCTATACTAATAATAAACCGAATAATTCTTAAAGACTCGATCATCTTTATTTTATATTGAGGAAACGGTTATTTGCAGTAACTAATTATGTAAAGAAAGAAGTTTTGAAATCAGAGTAACAGCTGGGTGTCCATACCAAAATCTCAATTAAACGGTCCTTTACATATGATGACAGTCCATTATAAATTATAATAGTGTTTATAATTTGTGTATGTACTGAATAATTATGAGTTTTTATACAAATTTTATCATCACACAGCAACATTTCAATTTGTTTATTTGTTTGTTTTGAAACTTTGTCGTATTTTTTAAAGGAATATGAACGAAAGGTTGAACACGGGCACGTAGTCCACCTGATGAGTAAATGGATGCTGCGACCCACAGATACTCGTATATACATCTATTCTCAATTAAGTGTAAAAATGCATATTCCATTTAAAAGAGTCTTCGCTTCTCTACACTCACCATAGGAAAGCACAGCAGCTTTGAGGTGCTCTTTTACGCTATTTTTGTGAGAAAATGATACTTTCTCGTTCGAGCCAATTCGTGCTAGAACAATAATATACCTGCAGCATGATTCTACCACGTAAAAAGGATTTAAAATATACTGTAAGAAGGATATTTTTACATCTGAATGCTTTGTTATTAATAATTTCCATAGCCAAAGTTTAAACTACTCGTAACACTGAAATAAGGAGAAAGTCAGCTTCTCTTTGGCAATACGCCGTTAATATTTACCGATTATCTTAACCATAAACATCACAAGTGCTCGAGTAAAATATGACCAGAAATACAATATCGAATTGTTCGTACAAGTACTTTCTAATGTATCATTAAAAATGCTTAAAGGTATTACATTTATTTATCGATACATACACGACACAATAACATCCCTTAAACATTAATCTGTGGACCACCGTAGTAGAAGACTGGATTAAAACACTTAATGTACCTACTTGAACCATCGACTTATCAAATAACTCAACGTTAATAAAATTACAATGAACTGATAAATCATTACTAATTTTATGGGCGTTGTCAATCGAAAATTAAATTGCGTCATTTCCGATGACTGAGGAAATCATTAAGTGTTGCGAAACACGTCGATAGTTCTGAGTTGCCTTAAAAGAAATTAATAGATAAAATTAAATGCGTTAATCTTATCCAAAGATCGCTACCGCGATGCTCAGAGATCGGGCCCTCTGCTTAAATGTCAGTACGCAAGCGACCTGAGGTCTCTTCTCGGTGTCAATAAGTGATATCTTAAATGCTAACTTTGTATATCCTCAGGGACGGAAAACACTAACATTTGGAAGACAAATGAAGCACTAGAGAGGCTAGGGTATACAATATGCAACACAGTTCAGTTCTACTATTATCTCAAGAATTCTGCAGTGAAATGTTTATTACATTTTTTACAATAGTTATTATTTTAGTTAAAATAACGTAGCTTTAACTTTTGGGAATACGCGTGTACATGTATTATATTTTGTTTTTAATTTTATAAATCAGTCTGTCAAAATAATTATTACACATATTTAGACGAATGAAATTACATATTGAAATCAAACTAATTCTATGGATTTTATCGTGTTTAATTTAAATGTTTTTAGTTATTACAATATTGACGTTTGCTTTACAGTATTATGCATCTTTACAAAAAGACGCCGAAATTATGTGAAGCATGAATGTTTTTCTTTTTCTTTTTTTGACTTCTAAGTGAAAAGAGTGCGGGTCTTTAACACTGCATCCACACCTTTTATTATTTCTCCTGAGTTTTCTATTAGGAGAAAATTAACAATACTAACTTTGCTGGATTTCAGTAATGCGTTAAATACAGTCGATTTTGTTATCTTGTTAAGTATATTGCGCTCTCTCAACATCTCCGGCTGTGGTTGACTGGTTTTGTAGTTACTTTTTTAGGCGCCGACAGCGTATTCAAGTAGGTACAGTACCCCGAGCACGAATAATAAGCAATTGCGTCATGAATTCGTATAGAGTCAACTATGCGAAAACCAAAACCAAACTGTGGCTATAGTCGTCGGCAGCACGAACGCTTATCTCTTATTCACGTGTACTCGATACAATAATGTAACTGAATGTAACTATATGTAAACAAACCTTAGACCACAATATTAAAACGAACGAATGAAAATGAATGACACGTTTAGAAATTGCTACTATTGTATTTGTTAAGTCTTTTATTGTACGTAAAAATAAGAAAACATAATGAAACTTATTAATAATCATGTGTTAATTAACGTAAAACACTTATTAAACAAGTTCACTATTTCTGTAATTATTTAAGTAGGATAATTTTTTATGTTTCTTATTATGTATTTTGAGTTGTGATTTCGGAATGCGGCCACTTTAAGATTAAGTTTAAACACTTGACTCTTGCGGCGCTCTAGTTTTTCATATTGTGCTTCATACTAGTTTGTGACTGCGCTTCGTGTTGTCGTAGAAAGTTTTTGTATTTGTATTTAGTATTTTTGGCTGAATTTCTTTACAATGTCAAGAACTAGCCCCACACAATTTACAATAATGGTAGAGTTCATGGAAAAGTAAGTAACTGATTGATACACAACAACAATAATTATATATTGATGACTGTTTAAGTAATGAATATTATGTTTATTTCTAAGGAATGGTGACTTATCTAAACCTCAAAATTTACCGCACGGGCGACTGTGGTGTATTAGGAAGTGGAAGGAGTTAAGCGATTTGCTTAACAGCCAAGGAATTGGAGAGTCTCGAAGTGAAGAAAAGTGGCGAAAAGTAAGTTCTAGTTTCATTGTTCCTAAACCTTCATTACAAATCAAGAGCGCTTACCTACATAGAGTTTTAAAAGCAAGGCTGATTTTGTGTAGTCAAAATTTTAAGTTAATTATCGTTTTATTTGCTTTGCTAAAGGTGTGGAGTGATTTAAAAAACAACACGAAGAGGAAGTGGGCCAAAATTAATAAAACTGCTCATGGTACTGGTGGTGGGCCTGCCTTAAAAATGTGTCTCACAGATTTGGAGAATAGGGTGCTGTCGATAATGGGTGTCGAAGCAGCAACTGGGATGGCCATAGCTGAAGTTGGTTTTAGCACGGTTTGTTAAATTTTTATCATGAAATCAATATCAAACTAAAAAAGCGCTCATATAAGTTACGAACCCCAATTCTGAATTACCTTGCTGACTTTTTTAGAATATATATTCATCATCACTATTCTAGTTTAGCAAACCTTTCATACTTACATAAATAGAACATTATTAGAAATCAAAAACTTTAATTTTACGATTTAATATCATAATAACATGATGAATTCTTTCACTATGAAAATATGACATACAGAAACTAATTTATATAAATGTAAATAACTAGAATAAGGCTAATAACCTATATTATTTTGCAGGTAGAAGAATCTGAAAAAGTAAGCAAAACTGTTTTTATACCTGTGGAGCCAGTAAATACAGAGGATATAATAATTGTACCAAATGAAGTTCCTGCTACTGGTAAGTCTTCAACTACTCATATATATAAAAAAAATTAATGACTAATATGAATTATTTGTAATTATTATTTATTTTGATTTTCAAATAACCAGGACCCATGTTGCCACATGTAGCTTTATATAGCATTACATATTTTACATTACATATTTTATACGTGGTAGAGCCATCCTGCAGTTATACCTATTAGTAGTATAGTTGTAGTACGAATGGTTCGGCTTGACCGGAGAAAGAGCTTAATGCTGCTGTGTTTTGTATGGTGAGTGTAGAGAACCGGAGACCCTTTTTACTGAAAACGGGACATTCCATCTTAGTCCTCACGGATGACAACGCATCTGCATTTTGATTCGTCATCGAGGATAGATGTCGATGTCTATGGGCCACAGCAACCACTTACCATCAGGTGGATTGTGTGCTCGTTTGTCACCCTTATTATATAAAAAATCTTTTAACTTACAAATACTTATTTTTAACTATATGAAAAGTAAATAATTGTAAAATAAATGAAGATAATTCTGTAAGAAGTTCAAGTTTTCAATTGGTTTTTTCAGATGATGAGGACTGGAATACTCCTGGCTGCAGCAAGGATCCAGTAGTTATACCTCCAAGCAATCACAGATCCCTCACACCACCCCGATCCCCAACATCTCCGCAATCTGCCACACAGCCGAAATCTCCCACCCAGTTGCCCCCCAGGCAACCCACCCCACAACCTCCACTTCAGCGCCGCCAATCCAAGAAGAAACAACTTAAGTCATTAGAGGAATATTTCTTTTTGTGTGAGGAGAATATAAGAAGTGATAACAGAGAGAGAGAAAAGATGTTTGTAGAGTTAGAACAAGAGAGGATTCGACAGAGAGATATCGAGCTCCATCAGCGTGATAGTGAGCTACAGTTGCAAGCTCAGTGGCTGGAATTTATGCGGGGAGCATTAGATATTTTACAAAAATATTTGGATGATAGAAAATGAATGAATGAGAGTTTTAATTTAGACTTTTTAATAGAATAATGGTGATAAATGAGCACACAGTCCATCTGATGGAAGTGGATCATGTGACCCATAAATAACTACATTTATTTTAGATTAAAAATCAAAATGCAGCTGAGATGTCTGAGGACGCTTGTGAGCTAATATGGAATGCCTCGTTTCCAGTAAACTCACCATATGCATTAAGCTACTTGGCAATATACCGTGAGGACCGTAATATAATATAATTTAAGTTTTTAGTTTTAGTTTTTTATGGTAATAAATATTGCATATAAATAAGAATTAATTGTGATTTTTGTAGTATTAATGTACCTATTTAGTAATGTAATGATATATATGTTTATTAAAATATCTCATTGAAATTGTTAATGTATTTTTTATTCAAACTTAATATTAATACCGATAAAAATAAATAACACTTAAAATCTAAATCGTAATAACAAAACCATTCAAAGCGTTTTTCAAACTAAATAGATATACAACATAACATGGAATCAAATTCAATAGAAATAGACGTTTTTCTGTTCAATACATATTAAGAGTACCTACTTATTGAAAGTCACTTTTATGTTTAATTTACCACTGGTTCGGAAAATACGATGAGTTATAGCGCTGAGGGCCTCGGGTTCAAATCCCGCACGGAACAAGTATGTGTATGGCCTAAAAGTAATTGTCCCGGCTCTGGGTGTTTGTCCTTGTGCAATTTATGTTTGTAAAATGCCTCCACGATACTGGAGAAAATCCTAGTGAGGGGTAACGTTTTTTAAAAAGTAAAGAAGTAAAGTAAAAAAAATATTAGCAACAAAATCCAAGGTAAATTAAAAAAAATGTTTACAGTGAAGTATTATATTATATAATTAACTATACAAATCATATTAGAAATGGCTTGGTAGCGACTACCTCATTCCCAGGGGTAATTAGCATCCATTATTTCCTTAATATTATAATAACTATTTTTATACAATACATGCTTAATAAATTTTGTGAAGTTGTCAGTGGACGAAATTTTGTTAAAAATTAATGTAAATTACGAAAAAAGTAATAAATAGATCATTATTATTATTGTTAATATAAAATTCAATTTGGGCATATGCACATATTACATATGTATAGAAGAACTACGCTGCAGTAAGTCTACCTACAAGAATTCTTCTCATAGCACGGCCTCTTATTAAATCACTTCTAATACATAAAGTGGGTTGATTTACGTTTTCAGTTAAATTGTTATCATATACATCTGCCTCTGGGTCAGGTACGCCAAATTGCATAGCTATGTTATGTAGTACACAACAAGCTATAATTATTTTGGCGCATTTTTCTGGTTTGTAATGCAGAGTGCGATCCTTGTTTACACATCTCCACCTATTTTTCAATCTTCCAAAGGTATTTTCTACAACCACTCTCGCTTTCCCGTGAAGTAAGGTATAATTAGCTTCAGGGCTTCCCTCTACAGCATCAGGAATGGGTGTCATTAACCATGGCCTTTGTGGATATCCAGAATCACCTGCACCAATTATGAAAATGTATTATTTATATTATAAAAAGGATGATATTCATTATAAAAAGTATTAAAAATAATTATAAAAATTAAATTGGAAAACTAAAAAGGACATTTAATTAACCTGTAAAAAGCATTTTTTGAAGCTAACATAATAACACAACTTACCAAGTAGCCATACTTGTTCATTGTTAAGATGTAATTCTTGCATATACTGGTTTACTAGGCTATTATCCCAAATAAAAGCATCATGGGTGGCACCTCCATATTTTGCATTCACATTTAAAATACGGCATTCACTGTCACAAACCTACAAATAATTTTTTGTTAGTTTTCAAATAATAACATAAAATATCAATGTACTTAATTTAATACTTAGTTCAAAATTCATCACCATAATCATTATCATTACAGCCTATTAATGTCATAGTTATGGCGTACCTAGTTGCCCGCAAATGGATTGGCAACCGCAGTTTTTTCATTTATTAATTATTATGAAAGTGTTGTTACCCATCTCCTTCCCTCTGTTGCCTCTTACGACTAGAGAAACGGAAGATATGGGGTAGTGGATATTCCCATATCGCCACTACTCATTAGATTACAAGCTACATGGAGTACCTTCAAATTAAACTTACAACTTGTACATTAAGGGAATGAAAATGCTTTCTGCAATAAAATAAGTGTTCAATTTCTTTTTGTGGTGTAAATATGCGGAAATGTGATCCATCTATGCAGCCAATGACACCCGGTATCTTATATGTAGTCAAAAATCTGTGAAAAATAATTATTTTTTTTAATTTAATTCGACTAGAGAATTTAACAAAGTTAAAAACACAACATTTTAAGTTTGTAAGTACTTTTGCTTAATGACGTCTCTCTCAGCCCTTGAAGTGGGGAACTTGATAAAATTGTTGCATATTATTTGGCTGTTAAGTGCCTCCGTAACTTGAGAAACACATTTGCTAACACTTGTTTGGCCTAAATGTTTACCCATACCAACTAAACGTTGATATGAGCCCGTTGCGTAAAATGATAAAGCACAAAGAACCTAAAACATAAATGAAATAAATAATACATTTTAGGTCACAGAATAACTACGACAGGTACATAAACTTTGAGCATTGTTTTATACCTTAAGCTCTAAACTTATTCTTTTACTATCTCTCAAGTTTTTTTTAGAGCGAAGTTCATGACAAAGGTATATAAATGCATTTTTACTCAATCTATATCTTTTTTTAAACTCCAATTCAGAAATATCCATAGGGTCTTCAGTTCGTCGAAGAAAAACGCGTTGTGTAACACCACTGGAATTATTTAGATATATTTAATTTAAACTGCTATAAAAAATATTACTAATACATAAAATAATTAATTTAAGGGAATTATATGTACCTTAATTCTCGTCTTTGTTTTCTTGCCTCGACTGCCAAACGCCACGCGAAATAATAAAAAGCCGTGGATCTCATTCTATTTCTTCTTAATAAAAACATTTTAAACTAAAATCAACGAAGGACTTAGAGAAATTTAAAAGTAAGACTTCACGATAGCGTTCTCACCGTAAAAATGTCGGTGAGAATGATTTCGTAGTTCTCTACAGTGTATAGACGATAACGTACGTCAAAAAAAGATTCGTGCTGCCGATTCCCATACATTTTGTGTCTTACTATACGTTAAACTATACGAAAGCGATACGTAACGTAGCGGTAGATGTTCGTGCTTCTAAATTTTAGTTCCAAATACGTCCACGGAGCGCTGTTCAAATTCCCATACAAAATTTAACTGAAACTAAACTGTGGCGTAAACTATACGATAGATCAAAATATTCGTGCTAGGGGTACAGGTGTATTCCTCTTACACTCTTACTGTTGCCGGCGTCTCGCAAGGAGGCGTGCTGTCTCCTCTTATGTTTGCAATATTTTAAATTCTATTGGTAATCAACTGTCTTCTTCTTACCACTTGTACGCTGAAGATCTCTAAATTTACACTGAATTTACTAATGATGATTTATCGAAAGCTAACGATACAACGAACGCTGATCTGGCTTGTATTTTGGACTGGTGTAAATCTTATGGATTATCTATTAATCCCACTAAAACTCAAGCCAAAATTATTGGTAGTTCGAGATTACTTGCTAGGGTTAACTTTTCTCTCATACCACCTATTTTCCTCAATGGCATTCACGGCCCTTATTGTGATATAGTTTAGAATTTAGGAATATATATTGACTTCTGTTTAACATGGTCACAACAAATTAATGAATTCAGTGGAAAATATTTGCAGCGCTAAGCTCTTAGAGACTTAGAAATTTTCTCCTTACTGCCACTAATGTTAAGCGCAGATATGTTAGAATACTCTGCAACCTTTTCACAATTTTGAACGATCCATGTGCTCCCGGGTATCTCAAATCTAAATTTCAATACCTTGGAGATTCTCATAATTTTTCTCTCCATTCCTCGTCCAATCTTAAGTTGCTCACTCCTTTACACCGTATTGGTTATTCATCTCACTCTTTCGCCCTCACGGCCATCAGACTCTGGAACGACATCCCTCTTGACATTAAAAAAGCCCTCCAACAAATTCGTTTTTAAAAATCAAGTCCGTAAGTATATGATTAAATCGTTGCAAGTTTGAACTAACATAGCTCTTTTTTCGTATATATTTCATATTTGTTCTGAAATAGATAATATTTATATGTATCTATTGTGAATGTATATATATATATATATATATATATATAATATATATATATATATATATATATTTGTGGTTTAGATTTACAATTGGACCTGTTTCTATGTTTTTTGAATCCTATATTTTGGCAACTGTACCTAAATATTATTTACTTTCTGATTTTTGGTCGTTTTTACATTGCCTTCTATATCTTTGTTTTTACTTAGCATTTTATGTTCTTACTTTGTTAAATTTACCACTGGCTCCGAAGATATCTTTGTCCTGGGAAGGACAAGCAAGAAACCCAGCGGGACGTTTAAAAAAATATAAACAATAACTTTATATAACCACATTCTCAGGGGTTATTATCATCCATAAATTCCTTATATCATCATCAGTTTTATACAATTTTTATGAATACATTTTTAAACATGGAAGTATATATCTATTTTTGAACATTTAAAATTCATCTTTTAAACAAGATAGGTAAGATAGGTTATTGAATAATCACACCACACCACGCCACACGCTTCTGTCCCCCGGTTGTCCGTGCTGCAAAGCACCCAAAACGTTCTGAATTAAAATTGCTATAAAATATGTAAATATTGTATGTTCGCGCAGATATAAGAAATCAAGATAATTTATCCTAAAATTGTTAATTCCACTCACGAAGCAACATAATACGCTCGCAGTACAGTATTTGCAAACGTTCTGAAATATTCACAAAGGGTATGTTTACAATTTTCTCGACAGGGGTTATGTGATGCAAATCGCTGGCTGACTGACGACATCTGTCTGTGCGTTTGTCGCTTTGTTCTAATCTCGGATTAGCATTTAAACGACGTGGGCTTGGTTCACTCGAACAGGCAAATGGAAAAGGGTTTAGGTTTCCCAGTGTTTTGTACGCGTCGAAGTGCGAGGACGTTCAACCAGTTGCTCATATTTCATGTAAAATATGTGTTTCATTTTTTTTTTTAAAATGTTAGCTTTTGTAATACTAATCCGCCTAAGTTTCGCCTGGATCTATAAATGTAGTGTCTCATAGATTTAAGATCATTAAAGACCATTTATTTTATCAATTTTTCGATGTAGGATAAAATATAGCCTAGAATACTGGCATTGCTCTTTTCATCGAGTTTCAGTCATCGAGTCCTGAAAGGCAGACAGACCGACTCGCGGTCCGTACTCTACGATTAAGCTACTGTCGCTTGAACACTTGAACAATTCATGTTGTTGGTCGTTTTTTTCTTTATTTCCTTGAAATAAATTATTACCTGTACCAATACTAATCATAATGTCGCGTAATTATAATAAATAATAGCATTTTAAGCTTACTGTAACTTAAATCAACGTCTTAGCTAATTTAATACACTTTAAACATGTCGTTTACGTCATATTCCTCAACGCACTCTACAAATTTGACCACTATCTTCATTAATTAACGGCCATTAGCAAATAACGTAAGCTGAGCCTTGTCATGAATCAAAGTTATCACGGATATGTTCAGTATTTATGGCTCCATTAATGATAATGTTCATGACGCAAACGACCTAATGTTAACATCAAATTTTGTTATCCCGTCTCCGTTAAAGTTACAGTCTATAAAAAGTTTACAACTAAACTTGCCACTCTGTGCAGGCAGTTTAGCAATCGGAGTTTTTTTATTTTTAGTTGTTAGGGAAGAGAGTTATCCCCGGGAATGTTTCTCTCTGTCGTCTTTTACAACACGCACGGGGTGGTACACACAGACATGCACAGTCGCTACATGGTTTATATTTTTCGAAATATTTTTTTACACAAACTAGTAGTACCAGTTACTCGACTCCACCGAGTCAGTAATTCATTCTTGGGGCGATGTATACGCTTTTACAACAAAATCCCAGAAAATATAAAAAAATTGTCACGGAAAGTTCAAAAATTTTATCAAACTTAGTTTGTATAAAAAGGGTTATTATAATATTCAGGAGTTTATGGATGATAATAACCCTTGGGAAGGGTGATCGCTACCAAGCTATTTCTAATTTGTCTTGTGTTG